TTTTTGTACTTTGCTAATAATTTTTTTATTAATGGTTTTAAGTAAGGTACAAATGGTAAAACGTTCTATAGCAAATGATTTTAAATTTGGAGGTACTGAAGTGAGAAAAATTTGGGATTTGTTTTAATTGCCCCTTTTCTTAATGACAAAATGACCTGTAAAGGAGTGCTTAAATGTGATGGATATTGTCACTAATGATGAGTGATTAAACAATAATTAACCATTGACGTTTCAAAACTGGTCAACTATGAACCACCACCGTAACAGAGCGACGTCGTATTGACAAAACCTTCCACAGCACACTTGTTCGAACGACGCCGTAGAAACCAACTTTTTATAGACTCTCTTCTTCATCCCCACCGCATAAAAAGGAAACCCTTTCTAAAACTTTTTTCAATTCCGACGCTCTCTTTCTCTCTCTTCAATCGCCGGCGGTATTTCGCCGCGAATTCACTCCCGAACGATTCTCCCCCTTCCGATTACAATCGCCGCAACCTAATTTCGTTCTTTTCACCTTATTTTGTTTTTGTAGCTATGTGCACTTGCTTGTATTGAGAAGAGTAATCGGAATTTTTTTGTTGAAAAGTTATGGAGGAGGATTATTACATGAGTGGTAGCAGCGATGATGAGGGCGATTGCTATTCGTCCGATCAAGAAGCTGAACCGCTCGAAACCGAAGAGCCCGATTCTCCGTGGGCCCCATCAAAATCCCCTTCCTCGAAGGTGCGTGTGCCATTCTACCACAGCCTTTTTGTAATTTTGAAGAATGCATGTTGAGTTTTTTTTAGTTTTGCCTAATTTGTTGGTTAGTTTTCTCGAGCTACATACTACTTACTGTGTTTGTTAATGATGTTCCGTGTTTTTTTCGAGCTCATCGATGCTGATTTTGTGGTTTTTGAAGGTTATAACAGCGTGAATTGGTACTTTTGTGATTTATGATTGTCTTTATTTTGTGGTAATGGGGTAACTATTTGCTTTTTTGACTTATCTTGCATCTGTTTATTGTTCTGTGGCTATATGGAATTTCAGTTTTATGTTATATTGGCCTCTTCTATTTGTCGTTAGATACAGAGGATATCCTCTACATTAGTCGGATGTTGGTTTTTTGCTTAAAGATCATTGGCATTTCTTAGTGAAATAATCTTATATTGAATTACGCCTGTTCGTGATTAATGATTTGGAGTTTTTTTTGGGCTTGCTTTCTCTTGTGCTATTTGCAGGTAATAACAAAGGAATCTCTGCTGGCAGCACAGGTAATAAAAGTTCACATACTTGTTATTCTCATTTCTTACACTTGCACGCATGGTCGCTTGTTCTTGCATTATGTGGTTCTTTCTACATCGCTATTTTACCCAAGCACTTACTTCTTCCGAAATTTGGATTGCCGAAGTTCTCGAAAATCAAAATCCTATTATGCCTCTTTAAGCTAGTTTGATTTGAAAATTTAAAGAAACAAGTCCTTGAACATTTCCATAACTCATCCACCAAGAGCTTAATTTTCTGGAAAAATGATTTTCTAGAAACTGAGATGACTCTGCATTTGTTTACTCCCATAATTTCATCACAAGTTCAAATAAGAGAATTATAATGGTATTTTGCATGTTTCTGACCGAGGATTGGAATTACATGTGTAGAGGGAAGATTTGCGAAGAGTAATGGAATTGCTATCAGTGAGAGAACAGCATGCCAGAACTCTTCTGATTCATTATAGATGGGATGTTGAGAAACTAATTGCTGTTTATGTTGAGAAGGGGAGATCTTGCATGTTTTCTGAAGCGGGTGTAATTGCGGTTGAACGTGTTGACCTCGATCCACCAAAATCTTCCTCTAAAGTGATGTGCATTGTTTGTATGGATGATGTGCCTGCAAAAGATGCGACCAAAATGGACTGTGGACACTGCTTTTGCAACAACTGTAAGCATTCTTTCTAACATTTGGATTATTTTACAGGTTTCTGTTCTGGAACATGAAAATGGCATGATAACTATAGCAGGTTCTGCTATTTTTCTGTTTTCTGTTGTGTTTGTATGACACTAATTCTGGTTTATTTGCATTTTAAAGGTCACAAGATTTTCATTTCTGCTTGGTGCTTTCCGCAATTGATTTTTTTTAGTAAATGGTAAATTGGGGACACATGGATCTTTAATATTTGATAACTTTACATGGCAAAAATATTCAGGTTGGACAGAGCATTTCATTGTCAAAATAAACGAGGGAAAAAGCAAGAGGATCATGTGCATGGCCCATAAATGCAATGCCATATGCGATGAAGCTATTATTAAAGATCTAGTTAGTGTAAAGCACCCTGATTTAGCAGAGAAATTTGACAGATTTCTTCTTGAGTCGTACATTGAAGACAACAAAATGGTTAAATGGTGTCCCAGTATACCCCATTGTGGGAATGCCATAAGGATTGAAAGTGATAAATTCTGTGAGGTAGAATGCTCTTGTGGTTTACAGTTCTGTTTCAATTGCTTATCAGAAGCCCATTCCCCTTGTTCGTGCTCGATGTGGGAGCTGTGGAGAAAGAAATGCCGTGACGAATCCGAGACAGTAAATTGGATTACTGTGCATACAAAGCCTTGTCCCAAGTGTCATAAACCAGTTGAGAAGAATGGTGGTTGCAACCTAGTCAGTTGCTTATGTGGGCAAGCATTTTGGTAAGAATACTTCATTTTCGGAACTTTACATTACATGCCTGTGCAATTTTTCCTTCTATTGATTTGATTAAATGATGCTAATGCAAATCTAATTCTTATTCGAATTTCTGGCTAAACTGAAAGTCGCTTGCAAACAGTTTTTGTATCCTAACTATTTTATTTCCTTTAGTTGGCTGTGTGGAGGAGCTACGGGGCGGGACCACACTTGGTCAAGTATTGCCGATCATAGCTGTGGTCGCTATAAAGAAGACACTGAAAAGAAATCCGAGCGCGCAAAAAGAGACCTATACAGATACATGCATTATCATAATCGTTACAAGGCCCACACGGACTCATTTAAGCAGGAATCTAGACTGAAGGAAGCCATAAAGGAAAAAGTATCAAATCTAGAAGAAAGGGACTCGAAATTAAGGGATTTCAGCTGGGTTACAAATGGGCTTTACAGGCTCTTCAAATCAAGACGAGCTCTTTCATATTCGTACCCTTTTGCATTCTATATGTTTGGTAATGACTTGTTCAAGGGTGAGATGACCAAAAAGGAATGTGAAATAAAACAGCATTTATTCGAGGACCAGCAGCAACAGCTCGAGTCAAACGTTGAGAAGCTATCGAAAATTCTTGAGGAGCCATTTGATGAGTACCCTGAGGAAAAAATCATGCAAATAAGGATGCAAGTTATTAATCTCTCTGAGATTACCGATAGCCTCTGCAAAAAGACGTGAGTTAAAAATTGTCCAAGATGGCCTATATAATGTTTGCCGTGGATGAAGAAATTTACACTTGCTTTCTCTTGTAGGTATGAATGTGTTGAAAATGAATTGTTGGGTTCACTTTGTTATACAACTCATCATATAGCTCCATACCATTCAAAAGGCATTGAGAAGGCAGGGGAGCTTACTGTTGGATGGAGCGCCCCCCTATCAGACAACAACATTAAATGTCGGAAGAAGGCAGCTGATGAACCCCCTGGTAAAGTGTATTGAACTTACATCTGAATTGCCGTAGAATTTGTCTATTTTAAGCTTCTAAATTCTTAAGTGTTGGTGAAATTTAAAGTTTCTAAATTCTGAATTGGTGCATAGTCTTGATCCTTACAGTGTCCAGAATGTTTACCTGTGGTTTGATAACAAAAGTAGATCTGGAGTAAAAGATAATGACAAATAACCGAGTCAAACCTAATTAGTCTACAATAATATTTTTATTTGTAAAGGGATGTGATAAATGTCGTTTCAGTTTTATTAATACCTTCTCGATTTCAAATGAGATTTTGATCATTTTTTATTCTGAGTTTGGCAAAACTCAAAACACGGAATTTGTAGTTCTTTGAGTGAACTTTCTAATCCAACTCGACTCACCAAGATTGGATGTCGGGTAAGAAAAATATGCATGAATCAATGACCAATGCCCACAATTTTGATTTTTTGAGTTCTCTAAAATTCAAAATGTAACTCATTCATGCACTCGACATCCAATTTAGCTGATTCAAGTTGGATTATAAAGCTAATTCAAGGGACTACAGTTTTCGTATTTTGCATTTTGCAAAAATCAGACTAGAAAAGGGTAAAAATTACGTTTGGAGTCAAAACGATATTAGTAAAATTGAAACAACATTTTAACATTTCAGATTTGTAAAATGCAATAAGCTGGTTAGATATATTCGCACTGCTGTATTCACCGATTTATCATGCATATTTTGTAGGAGATGTGATAGAAACAGGCCAAGCATCGGCGTCTGGGAGTTCCTACAACAGCCTGCAATATTCAAGGAAGCGAGCAAGAAAAGCAAGTTCATCATCGGGCAGCGTATTTGATCTCAACATGCCTGCAGAAGCTCATCCAGCCAATTCTTGAACGAATTAAAATCCAATTCCCTCGAAGACGATCTTATTGCATTCAACAGAGAAAATAAATCGAGCTGTTCGGGTGAAATTCTGTGTTCGTATTTGGTTCCTCAAACAATGTAGAGATTTTACGTGACGGACAGGTAAACTAGCCCTTCAACTGTTGTATTGTAATAGTGTCTTTTTGGGACTCTCATATACCAGGGAATAATTGGATATATGTCTCTGGTGGTGGAGTCCATTATTGTGGGGTGCTGAAATATGTTCATAAAGAGGGGGGGCTCAATAGTAATTTTGCCGAAACATGCTTGAACGAGATGTAATATAAACGGGGATTCGAAAGTTAACGTAGCTCGAGTGTGTTCCTTGAAAGATTTCAGATAAGTTTCCCTATTTTTTTTTTCTATTATATGTGTGATAATATATTTGACATTTTCGCCTGGAATGCCTTCGGAAAGTTCGCTCTCTCGTCTTTTCTGCTTTATTTATTTATGTGTAATAGAATTGTTGAATTTAGTGAAGATGATGGTTTGGTCTACAACATTGTTCAGTAATCTAGGCTAAAAGATTCTGCTTGGCTTATTATTTAAGGTTAATTCCACTTTCCCCTTTGTACATTGGTTCGGTATCACTTTACCCCCTTCTACTCTCGATTGCATCAATTTGCCCCCCTTTACTTAAAAAATTATCTCAATGTGACCCTCGTTGCTAGTTGTCAGACATTTAATCTTAACACCGCTTCCACGCTTTCTCAGTTTAAATAATTATTAAAAAACAATAAAAAAATTAATATTACAGATTGCTACAAACGTACATTATCCACGACATTTATCCCATCGAAAATTTAATTTACTTAATTTTGTGTTATTTCGAAGGTGATGATCATTTAATTGTGCAATTTAGTTCGAGATTAGTCGTCTTGTTAACAACAACATTAATTGCAGACATCAAACAACGATTTCTGGGTTTTGACCTTTCGAGAAAAAAAATAATCAAGTCATCAATTTCAATGAACTAGGAGTTAGTGAAATCTTAGTCTTTTACCGGCCCGGCAACTAAACGACGTAGTTTTATGCAGTGTTCTAAATATCGGTCGTGGCGGTCGATATATCGGCCGCCATATCGGTATCGGTTATAAACCTTTACGATTTTGTTGAGGCGGTTTGGAATATTGATTTTTTACGGCGAGGCGGTTTGCGGCGGTTT